CCTTGTGCTTCTTTGAACACCTTTCCCTTATACGCCTTCCTGATTAACTTCCCGTTAACCATATCATCTATCGGACTATCTTTGGATTCGTCAATACTTCCATATTGACAATCTTAGATTTGCCGATCCATATCCTTTTCGTGTCCTTCCCTCGACGATATGATTCATAGAACGGACGATCCATCGACCCCATAATCGAGCTATCGACCCGAACCATCAATCAAGTCGTCGAACCCTTCGGCGGTTCCCATCGAATCCTCGATCATGTAATCCACCATGTTCCCTCGACAAGATCTCCGATGCGTACCATCGGTCATCCCGCCGATCGGTACGATCGATCAATCCGCCGATCTAAACCTTGATCCGTTTATCCGATCGTACACCTATCCGGTCATACGTCGATCCGACTTGTTGACACGACGATCGATCCGCCTATCCCGGTCGGTCGATCCGTCTGTGCGATGGTCTATCCGGATCCGTTTTCTTCTCCGATCCGATCCATCCGTACGATGATCAGTTTGTCCGATCCGATCCGTCTCTAAGACGATCGGTCCATCCCATCCATCCCTCAATACATTCTATCGAACCGTTGGATCGGGAGGTAGCATGCGCATCAGTTCGGTTGAGGCTCTGAGAATCCATTCCGATTCCGGAGATACTCGCCGAGCCGCACCCCCTTTCCGACCAACACTTCGTAGACTGTTTTGGGACCCCGTTTGGGTTGGGATGGTGATTGTGAAGTGTATGTGGATGATTCTGAGGCCCTTGGACGTCCTCCCTTATATAGGGGCCGAATGGGTGTGTTTCCGAAACATCACATCCATTCGTTGCACCCTTTCGAAAGGTTGCGTCTTTCCGATCGTAACCGTTCAGCCTTATCTACCCTTTGGCCAACGGTAACCGTTCGTCAGTAACCGCTTGACCTTACACCTCTTAATATCGAGCTACCACAGTCAACCAGCTCGAGTGTCAGCTGACCGGACCACCCAGCTGGGTTAGTACTCGATCAGTTCACCGAGCTCGGTTGAGCTGTCGGTCAGCTCACCTAGCTGAGCTAGCTAGTCATGCAGCTGGTTTAGCTCACCTAGCTGAGCTAGCTAGTTCATCCAGCTTGTCCAGCTCACCTAGCTGGTTTAGCTCGAACGTTCTTTCGTGTTCTTTCCGGCTAAGTCTTTTGGTCCGTTTTCTTGGCCATGACTACGCCATTCCTAATCTTTCCGTGATCATTTCTCCATGATCACTAGATTATCCCGATGTCGTCTATGTCATCTACCCTTTTCATGACTTAAACGTTTCATTCCTTCCTTGGGTTAACTTATTCATTGGTCTTTCTCGACCATGATCTAGTTTTTCCTAAAACAAACCGGCCCCCTTTAGGATCGCGGGACGCGGGTGTTACAAGTCTACCCCCCTTAAAATGAATTCGTCCTCGAATTCGGCGGGTGTTCACATTTCGACCCGCAGAAAGACCACCAACTTTACTCCTTCGAGCAGCTGAGACAGCACCCCTGGCCAGAACTGAATCGAACAGACTGTTGCTGTTCCCCGATCTTGCTCCACAACACGGACTTGATCCATTTTCCCGATCTTGGTCCAACTACCGGACTCAATCTATTTTCCCGATCTTGTTCCATTTCCCGAACGCGATCAAATGTTTCCCATCCTAGTCCAATCCCGACTAGAACAAATTTTCGACCTTTGTCCAAATCAGACTCGGTCAATATTTCCCAACCTTGGTCCTATACGGACTCGGTTAATTTTCCCGACCTTGGTCCCCACTGGACTCGGTCACTTTTCCCGACCTTAGTCCCTTACCGGACTCGGTCAATAATTGCCGACCTTGGTCCTTTCCGGACTTGGTCAATAATTCCCGACCTTGGCCCTTTACCGGACTCGGTCAATACCCCTTGATCTTTTCAACGAATAGATCAAGTCTTTCCCGATCTTCGTCAAATTCCGACGAGATCTAATTTCTATTGATCTTGGCTATTCTCCGAATAGATCAATACCTATTTCCCCGTTATGTTAAGTCGTTTGACTATAAGGGTCATATCTTGGTGCCCGATCATGCCTTGGGTAATCTTTCCTCAAGCACATCGATCTCATTCACCTCAACTTCCTTATCCGCCAAACACTTAGCATAACATTTTCAACTTCTATAATCAGCCCCCTTTTTTCCGAATAATTATTCACTTGCTACACGTGTAGTTCTTGCCCCTTGGGTAATCATCTTGGCTTAACCAATTCATCTTGGCAAACTCTCTTGGTTTCCAAGCATGTAATCGCGTTCATGCCTCAATTCCCTTCCGGCTCACCAACACTAATGTTCAAGTTAATAATTCGGTTTTCCGATGACTCAATCATTTAAGTTACACCTTTAGTAGTCATTTACCATGACATATTCCCGAGCACTTATCCATCCTAGGATCAAGCATGCTCTGATACCAACTTGTAGAGACCCCGTCCCGGACGTCTCGGCGTCCGGCGACCATTGACGCACGTTCGTGCCTCCTCCCGGCCGAACCTCCATATTTTTCGCGATTTAACATAGAATTGCCTTTACGAAGCTTAATTATATGATCGCGTTCTTATTACACAGCGGAAGTCTTTCTACCCTTAGTTTAATTCCAACCAATCCTTATACCGGTTTTATCGTCCTAGTCCCTAAGACTTAGATCGATCCTTAACTCGGTCAAAACATGCATATTGTTCGCTAACCATTCTAAGTCTAACGATTGCATATTCCTTTATCCTTAATCCAATGGCCAATTCCCAAACGTCTATCTTAATTCATAAGTTAGATTTGTTTACATACCTTGGCCAACATGCGGATTTGATTCCTCTTCGATCCGTCCATTGATCCTTCCCTTAGCCCTTTTTATTTCCTTATTCCATTCGTACAACGATTCTTAACCAATCGTGTATTGATGGACCAATCTCTATCGTTACTTAGCCATTCATCCAACCAACCCCACTGGTCTAAGTCCCTACGATAGAGATTGGGGATCGTACGTTTTCCTTGGTTCACGGTGGCCAAATCAAGCTCTTGGCTCATTGGTCCATCCGTCCTCCAAACGTACACCCCTTCGGTTTCATGGTGGATGATCAAGCCCTCGGCTTATCGAACCATCCATGTTTCTGATCCGGTCGTTTATCACTACGACCGCCCACGGTCTACCAACCGTTTACCCGTACGGTCCATGGTGGTCATAACGCCTTCGGCTTACCGATCCATCCATGCGATCCGAACAATATCATTATCACACCCAAGGGTCCGTGGATTCACCCATCAGATTATCGTAGGCTAACCCATGAAATCATTCGTCCGTCGGCCTTTGGTTTGCTCGTGGGTCCAACATCCGTTTTGTCCACCGGTTCTCACCGTGGACTTTCCCATTGGTTATCCGTCGAGTCACCATTGGTGTTACCGATTCCTAATCGGTTTCACCATTGGCCATGGCGATTGATACATGAAGGCGGCCGCGATATTAGATCCTTACATGGTGAACCACGTCACTTACCCATTCTCGGTGCTTACTCCCTTTACCGGTGAGATTCATCCATGGGCGACCCTTGGGTGTGTTCGGTTGCACTTATCCTTGTGCTTCTTTGAACACCTTTCCCTTATACGCCTTCCCGATTAACTTCCCGTTAACCATATCATCTATCGGACTATCTTTGGATTCGTTAATACTTCCATATTAACAATCTTAGATTTGCCGATCCATTTCCTTTTCGTGTCCTTCCCTCGACGATATGATTCATAGAACGGACGATCCATCGACCCCATAATCGAGCTATCGACCCGAACCATCAATCAAGTCGTCGAACCCTTCGGCGGTTCCCATCGAATCCTCGATCATGTAATCCGCCATGTTCCCTCGACAAGATCTCCGATACGTACCATCGGTCATCCCGCCGATCGGTACGATCGATCAATCCGCCGATCTAAACCTTGATCCGTTTATCCGATCGTACACCTATCCGGTCATACGTCGATCCGACTTGTTGACACGATGATCGATCCGCCTATCCCGGTCGGTCGATCCGTCTGTGCGATGGTCTATCCGGATCCGTTTTCTTCTCCGATCCGATCCATCCGTACGATGATCAGTTTGTCCGATCCGATCCGTCTCTAAGACGATCGGTCCATCCCATCCATCCCTCAATACATTCTATCGAACCGTTGGATCGGGAGGTAGCATGCGCATCAGTTCGTATGAGGCTCTGAGAATCCATTCCAATTCTGGAGATACTCGCCGAGCCGCACCCCCTTTCCGACCAACACTTCGTAGACTGTTTTGGGACCCCGTTTGGGTTGGGATGGTGATTGTGAAGTGTATGTGGATGATTCTGAGGCCCTTGGACGTCCTCCCTTATATAGGGGCCGAATGGGTGTGTTTCCGAAACATCACATCCATTCGTTGCACCCTTTCGAAAGGTTGCGTCTTTCCGATCGTAACCGTTCAGCCTTATCTACCCTTTGGCCAATGGTAACCGTTCGTCGGTAACCGCTCGACCTTACACCTCTTCATCCCGAGCTACCACAGTCCACCAGCTCGAGTGTCAGCTGACCGGACCACCCAGCTGGGTTAGTACTCGATCAGTTCACCGAGCTCGGTTGAGCTGTCGGTCAGCTCACCTAGCTGAGCTAGCTAGTCATGCAGCTGGTTTAGCTCACCTAGCTGAGCTAGCTAGTTCATCCAGCTTGTCCAGCTCACCTAGCTGGTTTAGCTCGAACGTTCTTTCGCGTTCTTTCCGGCTAAGTCTTTTGGTCCGTTTTCTTGGCCATGACTACGCCATTCCCAATCTTTCCGTGATCATTTCTCCATGATCACTAGATTATCCCGATGTCGTCTATGTCATCTACCCTTTTCATGACTTAAACGTTTCATTCCTTCCTTGGGTTAACTTATTCATTGGTCTTTCTCGACCATGATCTAGTTTTTCCTAAAACAAACCGGCCCCCTTTAGGATCGCGGGACGCGGGTGTTACAGACGGGGTCTCACACAAGTTCTTCTCGATCTTCAGCTTCTCGAAAAGATCAGTCTTGGCAATGTCAAGAAGGTTGCAACGACCTTCGGCCTCCAGCATTCGCTCCCGGATCTCGTTCGCCTTTGCCACCGCCTTGGCATTTTCCTCCTCCATCTCCTTGAGTTGACGGATCTCTTCTTCGAGTTCGGCAACTCGGGCCCTGAGGCCATCCAGCTCGTTAACTGGAAAGAGCTAGGACTCGTGGCAGGAGAAGGTGGTGTTGTACTCGAGCATTAACTGTCGAAACGAAGATTCATGAGGACGGAAAGAAAAGTTCTTATTTTTATATAAGGAGAAGAGTTCAAAGAATTACCTCTCCGAGTTTATCAGCGAAGCGAAAGTAGTTCGCTCTGTTGACCTCCTTCAAGTCACTTAAGGGAGGAATCCTCATCCCAACAGGAGTAAAGTTCCTCATGAAATCAGCTGGTGACTTCGGGGGAGCTGTTAAAATAAAAAAACGTCAAAATGAACTCGAAGCGAGAGAGAAATACGGAATCTCCTGACGGACGGATCCCCGGTTCTCAGAGTCCCACGAAGGCAGGACAAGAAGCTGAGTTGGCAAGTCGGACTCCGGGGCCCGTTGTGGATCTTCTTTTTCTTCTGGTTTTGACCCCAGACTGGTCCCAGCATCCTCGGAAGGATTTTTCTCGTCGTTCAGACGAGAACGACTCTTGCGTTGGAGGGAAGGAACTTCAGATTCCTCGTTCCTGCGTTTCCTTGAGGAGGTTGCACTATGGCCTCCTTCAGAAATTTCTTTTTCCCAAGAAGATCGGGATGAGCGAGAATCCGAGATCCGGATTAGGTCTTTTCCCGAAGACACCTTCTTTAGATCACGGTGATCAGAGGTCTTCGATTCGGAAACCGGATCTACGGTACCCAAGTTCTTCCCTTTACCAGATGAAGATCTGGACTTCCCTTCATCCAAGGCCTTCACCATCCTGGCCTTATCTTCTTTCTCTCTCGCTTCTCTCGCTTTTTCCCTTTCCTTTTGGAGCCTCTTCTCTTCGCGGTAGGAAAGTGGAGACATGTTAGTGGCAACAGTAGGGGAGGAGGGAGGAGTGGAGGAAATGAGGTCGGATCGCGAGACAATTCGAGCACACGAACTCCGGATGCGTTCGCAAGTGAACAATTCCCACGACAGGTCGCTGCTATTGCAAATCTTTACGAATTGCCCCGCAAAAGTATGAGAAAGCGTTTTCTTCGGAAGTTTAGCTGCAAAAGCAAAAACATTGACGGATTAGAAAGGAAAAAAAAAAGACGAGTGAAAAGCAGTGAAAAACCTAAGGAGCTATCTACCGGGACGACGAGTCCATTCACGAACGAAATAATCCGTATTTGGACCATAAGAAAATTCGTCTACAGCGAAGAAGAAGTAGGATTTTCTCCACTGCTCGTCCTTTTCGAGAAAATCCCCGAAAACTCTGAAATTACTCCGAGGACTGAGGAAAAACGTCCCCGGAGTTCGCCCCTTCTTTACTGTATAAAGATGGAGTACGTCGGATAGCGTGATACGGTATCCATTTTCCTCTGCAAGGGTCTGGAGGCACAGGACGGTCCTAAATACATTTGGACATAGTTGAGGAAGTGCGATTCCGAGCTCGTGCATCAATTCGACCAAAAGGCCGGGAAGCGGAAAAGATAGCCCGCATTCCGAAAAGAAAATTTCAAAAGCGCAAGTGTGACCGGTAGGTGGAGACTCCGGAGAATCTGTCGGACCCGGAGTAATCAAGGAGACTCGACGAGGGATCTGGCAGGCACCTTTCAGTAGAGCCAGCTTTTTATTGTTGAGATTCGAAGAAAAATACTTCCCGAACTCGCCTTCCATGATGTGAGTCTCATTCTGGATCTTCCTGCTTCGCTTCGGAGCCATAACGCAATTAAGGAAGATGTAGAGACGAAACAAGATCTGGTGCCAGGGATTTGGGAAGATATTTCAAGAACAACTCAAGAACACGCTTGAGCAAACTTCGAAGATCTTCGTGAAAACCCAGAAACCGGAAAGATTAAGCGGTCGATGTTCTTCGGAAAACGGTTGCGATTCAACGGAATATCAAGAACACGGTGGAGGAGATAAAGAACAGCAAACAATTTCGGAGCAGAGGGCTGAAAATCTAAGAAATCTTTTAGATCTCTGGCCTAAATCTAGCACAGAACTAATCTAGAGCGGTGAACTAACACGAATCCGGAACTAAATAGCAAGAACTAAGCGTAATCGGAAGAATGTTAAGAGAGAAAAGAGGAGAGGATTCGGTACCTTAAATAAGCAGACGACGAATTATGAATGAACTTGAAGCGGTTGTGCAGAACCCGAAGAGTCCAAACAAATATTTATAGGAATCTCTAGCGGGAATATGGAAACCCTAGGAACTCGAAACGCCGCCCTCATCCCGAGAAGAATCCCTCGATCCGCAGAAAAATTCATACCCTAAGATCTCGAAACGTCACTTCGGTCGAGGAACCAAATCCCGGGGAAAGCGGAATTAATGACAAAATCTCTGAGCCCGAGAAGTGTTTGTTATTTAAAGTATCCCGAAGTGAATACTTCGGAACACTTGGAGGGCAAGCTGTTGGTGTCGGATCCCGCAGTTCGGATCCGGTCCGGAAAAATAGTGGATCAATAAGACGAAGTGGGCCGTCGGCCCGGTCCAGGGGATGAAAAGAGCGGCCCAATAAGTTCCAGCCCAATTTGAGTTAAATGTCGGGATCTCACGAGTTAAATGAAAGGCGGGTTACACGGGATCAGCTAGATCGGGAAGATTCGAAACGGAAGCAATAATGAAAGCGAGATCTGCGGCTTGATGAGCGACTTCGGTTTCAAATCATGTAATTATAAATAAGAAACGAAAACCATTGTATGGGGGGGGGGGATTTTGCTTGAGCAATAAACGAATACACATACTTCATTCTTTTGTTTTCTTTTTGAAGATTGCTATTCGAATTGGCAAGACTAGACGATCCGATACACATCATACAATTTGTATTGCGGATTCCGACATCCACAGACTTGATTGATGGTTCGGGTCGATAGCTCGATTATGGGGTCGATGGATCGTCCGTTCTATGAATCATATCGTCGAGGTAAGGACACGAAAAGGAAATGGATCGGCAAATCTAAGATTGTCAATATGGAAGTATTGACGAATCCAAAGATAGTCCGATAGATGATATGGTTAACGGGAAGTTAATAAGGAAGGCGTATAAGGGAAAGGTGTTCGAAGAAGCACGAGGATAAGTGCAACCGAACACACCCAAGGGTCGCCCATGGATGCAATCTCACCGGTAAAGGGAGTAAGCACCGAGAATGGGTAAGTGACGTGGTTCACCATGTAAGGATCTAATATCGCGGCCGCCTTCATGTATCAATCGCCATGGCCAATGGTGAAACCGATTAGGAATCGGTAACACCAATGGTGACTCGACGGATAACCAACGGGAAAGTCCACGGTGAGAACCGGTGGACAAAACGGATGTTGGACCCACAAGCAAACCAAAGGCCGACGGACGAATGATTTCATGGGCTAGCCTACGATAATCCGATGGGTGAATCCACGGACCCTTGGGTGTGATAATGATATTGTTCGGATCGCATGGATGGATCGGTAAGCCGAAGCCGTTATGACCACCATGGACCGGACGGGTAAACGGTTAGTAGACCGTGGGCGGTCGTAGTGATAAACGACCGGATCGGAAACATGGATGGTTCGATAAGCCGAGGGCTTGATCGTCCACCATGAAACCGAAGGGGCGTACATTTGGAGGACGGATGGACCAATGAGCCAAGAGCCTGATTCGGCCACCGTGAACCAAGAAAAACGTACGATCCCCAATCTCTATCGTAGGGACTTAGACCAGTGGGGTTGGTTGGATGAATGGCTAAGTAACGATAGAGATTGGTCCATCAATACACGATTGGTTAAGAATCGTTGTACGAATGGAATAAGGCGACGAGAGGGCTAAGAGAAGGATCAATAGACGGATCGAAGAGGAATCAAATCCGTATGTAGGCCAAGGTATGTAAACGCATCTAACTTATTAGTTAAGATAGACGTTTGGGAATTGGCCGTTGGATTAGGGATACAAAGAATATGCAATCGTTAGACTTAGAATGGTCAGCGAACAAATTGCATGACTTGGCCGAGTTAATGATCGATCTAAAGTCTAAGGGACAAAGATGATCAAACTGGTACAAGGGTTTGTTGGAATTAAACCAAGGGTAGAAAGACTTCCGCTGGGTACTAAGAAAGCGATTACAGAAGTAAGCCTCGTAAAGGCAATTCTATGTTAAATCGCGAAAAATATGGAGGTTCGGCCGGGAAGAGGCACGAACGTGTGACCATGGTCGCCGGACGCCGAGACATCCGGGACGGGGTCTCACAGGCTCCGAGGCTGCGCTTGTTCCAGACGAGGAGCAGGATAAGTGATCCCGAGGCGCCCCTTCTTTTATGTTCTGGATTTGTTTTGATTCTTCTCCTTTTTGTAAGACTTGTGCCTGGACGGCTTTATCCCTTTTGAATGCATGTTTCTTTAAATACTTGAATTGTTTCGTTCATCTTGAGTTGCTTCCGAAGTAACTTCGTAAACATGACTTGTTCATCAAGGAGTTAGTCTTTTCCGAGTCGTTTTTACTTCCGAACCGAATTATACACCAATGTCAATGTAATTGGGTTTTGATAAAAATGAGTTTCGGTTCAGTAGAAGTTATCTTTCGGAATAGCGAACCAGTGTTAAGATAACTGGGTTTTTGTAAGTGTGATGTGAAAAAGTTAATTCTCCCGAACCGTTTCCACTTCCGAACTGAAAGTGAAATGGATCGTTCACCAGTGTTAAGGTAACTGGTTTTGGTTATATGGGACTAATCTCTATCGGTTGCGACCCGAGCTGATATAGTCGAAGCCAGTGCCTAGAAGCGAACTGGGGTACCAGTGTCGAAGTCGACTGGGTTTTCCGAAGACAATCTCTTGGTGGTCAGATATCTCCGACCGAATTGTCTCGAATACTTATATAGCGCGCTGTAACCGAAGCGGTGAAATGAGCTCTCTGTTCGTGGACGTGGCCATCATCCGAATGAACTGTTGGCTTTGTGGGTCGATAAGAGGATAGTAAAAGTTTCCAAGATGAGTTTTGGGAAAAATGTCGAGGTGGATTTGAGTTGAAAACCCGAAGGGTAAACTTTAGAAAGAATGAAATTTTAGTGGGAGTATATGTATACGGACCCATTCCCCCCCCTTTTTTAATTAGGGGGGGTAGCTGAACTCGTCCGAGGACGAGCTGCCTACGTACCCTTTTCAGGGATCAAGTGTAACACCCGCGTCCCACGATCCTAAAGGGGGCCGGTTTGTTTTAGGAAAAACTAGATCATGGTCGAGAAAGACCAATGAATAAGTTAACCCAAGGAAGGAATGAAACGTTTAAGTCATGAAAAGGGTAGATGACATAGACGACATTGGGATAATCTAGTGATCATGGAGAAATGATCACGGAAAGATTGGTAATGGCATAGTCAAGGCCAAGAAAACGGACCAAAAGACTTAACCGGAAAGAACGCGAAAGAACGTTCGAGCTAAACCAGCTAGGTGAGCTGGACAAGCTGGATGAACTAGCTAGCTCAGCTAGGTGAGCTAAACCAGCTGCATGACTAGCTAGCTCAGCTAGGTGAGCTGACCGACAGCTCAACCGAGCTCGGTGAACTGATCGAGTACTAACCCAGCTGGGTGGTCCGGTCAGCTGACACTCGAGCTGGTGGACTGTGGTAGCTCGATATTAAGAGGTGTAAGGTCAAGCGGTTACCGACGAACGGTTACCGTTGGCCAAAGGGTGGATAAGGCCGAACGGTTACGATCGGAAAGACGCAACCTTTCGAAAGGGTGCAACGAATGGATGTGATGTTTCGGAAACACACCCATTCGGCCCCTATCTAAGGGAGGACGTCCAAGGGCCTCACAATCATCATCACACACTTCACAATCACCATCACAACCCAAAAGGGGTCCCAAAACACTCTACGAAGTGTTGGTCGGAAAGGGGGTGCGGCTCGGCGAGTATCTCTGGAATCGGAATAGATTCTCGGAGCCTCGACCGAACTGATGCGCATGCTACCTCCCGATCCAACGATTCGATAGAATGTATTGAGGGATGGATGGGATAGACCGATCGTCTTAGAGACGGATCGGCGGACGGATCGGATCGGACAGACCGATCGTCGGACGGATCAGATCGGATAGACCGATCGTCGTACGGATCGGATCGGACAGACCGATCGTTGGACGGAAGGATCGGATCGGAGAAGAAGACGGATTCGGATAGACCGTCGCACAGACGGATCGACCGACCGGGATAGGCGGATCGATCGTTGTGTCAACAGGTCGGGTTGACGTATAACCGGATCTGTTTACGATCGGATAAACGGACCAAGGCTTAGATCGGCGGATTGATCGGTCGTATAGATCGGCAGGATGACCGACAATACGTATCAGAGATCTGGTCGAGGGAACATGGTGGATTACTCGATCGAGGATTCGATGAGAACCGCTGGAGGGTTCGACGACTTGATTGATGGTTCGGATCGATAGCTCGATTATGTGGTCGATGGATCGTCCGTTCTATAAGTCATATCGTCGAGGGAAGGACACAAAAAGGAAATGGATCGGCAAATCTAAGATTGTCAATATGGAAGTATCGACGGATCTAACGATAGACCGATAGATGATATGGTTAACGGGAAGTTAATCGGGAAGGCGTATAAGGGAAAGGTGTTCGAAGAAGCACGGGGATAAGTGCAACCGAACACACCCAAGGGTCGCCCATGGATGCAATCTCACCGGTAAAGGGAGTAAGCACCGAGAATGGGTAGGTGATGTGGTTCACCATGTA